ATTCACTACGAATGTTGCTGAGACATCTTTGACAATTCCAGGTGTCAAATATGTTGTTGATTCTGGGAGGGTTAAAGAAAGCAGATTTGAACCTGGAACTGGCATGAATGTTCTCAAGGTTTGTCCAGTCAGCAAAAGCTCAGCAAATCAACGAGCTGGGCGAGCTGGTAGAACTGAACCGGGAAGGTGTTATAGAATCTACTCTGAAAATGATTTTGAGAATATGCCTTGTCATCAGGAACCTGAAATTCGTAAGGTTCATCTTGGTATTGCTGTGCTAAGGATTCTTGCCCTGGGCATCAAGGACGTGCAGAGTTTTGATTTTGTTGATGCACCTAGTCCTATAGCAATTGAGATGGCTATCAGAAATCTGATTCACTTAGGAGCTATTGCATGCAATGATGATGGTTATGAATTAACTGCAGATGGACATTATCTAGTGAAGTTGGGTATCGAGCCTCGGTTGGGTAAGATAATCCTTAGTTGTTTCCATCGCCATTTGGGTAAAGAGGGTCTTGTTCTTGCTGCTGTTATGGCAAATTCAAACAGCATTTTCTGCAGAGTTGGTACTGAAGTAGATAAACTAAAATCTGATTGCCTTAAGGTTCAGTTTTCCCATCCTGATGGTGATCTCTTCACTTTACTATCTGTTTACAAGGAATGGGATGCTGTTTCTCAAGAAAAGAAAAGTGCCTGGTGCTGGAATAATAGCATCAATGCCAAAACCATGAGAAGGTGCCAGGAGACTGTTGAAGAACTGGAAGCCTGTCTTCAAAATGAACTGAGTATCGTTGTTCCAACTTACTGGCATTGGGATCCACATATGCACACTGAGCATGATGAAAGTTTGAAACACATTATTCTCTCTTCCCTTTCAGAAAATGTGGCAATGTTCTCTGGTTATGATCAACTTGGCTATGAGGTAGCACTGGCAGGTAAGCATGTCAAATTGCACCCTTCATGTTCGTTATTGAATTTTTGTCAACGACCTACTTGGGTAGTTTTTGGTGATATCCTGGCATCAGCTAAAGAGTATCTGGTCTGTGTTACGGCGTTTGACTTTCACAACCTAGCTACTTTGTTTCCTCCTCCATTGTTTGATTTCTTAAAGATGGATGCTCAAAAGCTACAGAAAAAGTCTTTGACAGGGTTTGGAAGCATGCTGCTGAAGAGATTGTGTGGAAAATCTAACTGTCACATCAATCGTTTTGTTTCGCGAATGAGAACTTTGTGCATGGATGAACGCATCGGCATTGAAGTGAATGTTGATCAGAATGAGATTGCAATGTATGCTTCTTCCAGAGACATGGATAGGGTTTTTGAGAATCTGAATGAAGCAGTGGATTATGAATACAAGTTGTTGAAAAATGAATGTCTGGAGAAATGTTTGTACAATGGAGGGTCTGCTTCTTCAGTGCCTACTGCCCTTTTTGGAGCTGGTGCTGAGATAAAACATTTGGAGCTTGAGAAGAGATGTTTGACATTTGATGTATTTCTTTCAAAGGGAAATTCATTTGATGATAAAGAACTGTTGATGTTTCTGGAAAGGAATGCAGGTGACATTTGTGTGGTCCACAGGTTCTCAGGTGTGGGACAAGATAGTGGGGAGATGGAGAGATGGGGCAGGGTAACATTTGTCACCCCCAATGCTGCTGAGCATGCTTCTGCACTAAACTCCGTCCCACTTAGCAGTGGTGTGGTCAAAGTAGTTCCTTCCAAGACCATGCATGATGGTGATCAAAATATGAACTCATCTCATTTGCTCAAAGCAAAAGTGCATTGGCCTCGCAGATTCAGTAAAGGGGTAGCTATTGTGAAATGTCATCCAAAGGACATTGCTTTTATGGTTGATGACTTCTCTAGTGTTGTAATAGGAAGGAGCATTGTTCGATGTGAACAAAGCATCAAATGTTCTGACAGTATAGTGATTAAGGGACTTGATAGAGAGCTTTCTGAAGCTGAGATATTTGAGATGTTAACTCCATTGACAGGCAGAAATATTTTGGATTTGTTCCTAATCAGAGGAAATGCTGTAGAAGGTCCTCCATTAGTTGCTTGTGAAGAAGCACTTCGAAGAGAAATATCTTCCTTCATGCCTAAAAGGAACCCTTATGGTAACTCTACTCGTGTCCAAGTCTTCCCTCCTGAACCAAAGGATACATACATTAAAGCAGCTATAACATTCGATGGAAGTCTATATCTAGAAGCTGCAAGGGCTCTGGAAGAAATGAATGGGAAAGTATTGCCTGGATGCCTTCCATGGCAGAAGATACAATGCCAGCACTTGTTTTCTAGTTCCGTGTCCTGTCCTGCAGCAGTATATCATGTCATTAAGACTCAGCTGGATACTTTACTTGCAAGCTTCCGTCATAGAAAGGGTATTTGTTACAACCAACTCCATATTTGTTCCTAACTAAGCTCATTTATATGTGTGCATTTCTTTTCTCAGTTGGGTTCTGAACCAAATAAATCAATTTTAGGTGCACTAACTAATTTATTTATCTTAATAATACTTTACAATAATACTTTACAATAAATTCCTTATTTGGTTCTGTTTAGGCTGATTTATGTATGTGCATTGTCATTTTTCAGTTGGGTTCTCAAACAAATAATTCACATTTAGGTGCATTAGCTGATTTATAGTAACTAATTCACATTGTCATTTTAACTACCTAACCTCAGTATAAAATCTCAAAATATGGGTGATTTCCTTCTTGTTATAATGTTATGAAAGAATGATGAAACCCACCCAGGAAGTGCCTGGTGCAAGGTGCTTTATGCTGTAAATATTACTTCCTGAACAAATATAGTTATTATAGGTTTTTGTTCCTATTGCTTAATCGAAAGAATGTATGATTATCCCACCCCTCATGTGCCCATCTAATAATATATTGGTTCTAGTAACTTTAAATGGTAAAGTTACATTTTGCAAAGACTCAATTTTTGTTGTCTGTCATGAATGAAGATTAAAAAATGTATTCTTGGGAACTACTATTCTGTAGCACTAGAAATTCCCCTTCATTTGTGGTGAATGAATTATAACTTTTGCCGAAACAAAAGTTCTGCAAATGAATAATGTATAATTGGCAGCTGACAATACTTCAACTGTTTGCAGGTGTTGAGTGCAATCTCCTTAGGAATGAGAACGGTTCCTATAGAGTTACCATATCTGCTGGTGCCACGAAAATTGTGGCAGAAGTGAGAAAACTATTGGAGCAGCTTATGAAAGGGAAAATAATAGACCATGATGGCATTACTCCCACAGTTCTGCAACATTTATTTTCTCGGGAAGGGATCTTTCTTATGAAGTCAGTTCAGCAGGAGACAGGAACCTATATTCTTTTTGACAGGCATACCCATACTCTGAGAATCTTTGGTTGTTCAAACATGATTGATATGGCAGAGAAGAAATTTGTGGATTTACTTCTGTCACTTCACGAAAACAAGCAACTTGAAGTCCATCTTCGTGGAGAAGCTTTGCCCCCAAATCTGATGAAGAGAGTGGTTCAGAAGTTTGGAGCAGACCTTAATGGGATCAAGCAAATGTTTCCTGAGGGTAACTTCTCTCTGAATGTCAAACACCATTGTATCTCTATCAGCGGTCCCAAAGAAGTGAAGCAAAAAGTTGAAGACGTAATTTATGAGATGGCTCAAACAAGTAGTCCGCAGAATCTAAGGAGTGATGATGAAGCTGACTGCCCGATTTGCTTGTGTGAGGTGGAGGAGGGTTTCAAGCTAGAAAACTGTTTCCATGTCTTCTGCCGATCATGCTTGGTGGAGCAGTGCGAGTCTGCCATCAGAAGCAGAGAAGGTTTCCCCATGTGCTGTATGCATAAAGGTTGCAAGGCTCCGATCCTGGTTGCTGATTTGAAGTCTCTGTTATCAATCGAAAAACTGGAGGAGCTTTTCAGGGCATCATTAGGGGCTTTCGTGGCAGCAAGTGGAGGTTCTTACAGGTTTTGCCCATCCCCCGATTGCCCCTCAGTTTATCGTGCTGCTGACCCCTCGGCCACTACCGGGGAACCATTCATCTGCGGTGCATGTTATGCAGAAACATGTACGAGTTGCCACCTCGAGTACCATCCGTTCATTTCATGTGGCAAGTACCGTGAGATCAAAGACGACCCAGACTACAACTCTCTGAAAGCATGGAAAAAGGGAAAAGAGAACGTGAAGAACTGCCCCGTCTGCTCGTTCACAATCGAGAAGGTGGATGGCTGCAATCACATCGAGTGCAAGTGCGGGAAACACGTTTGCTGGGTATGTTTGGATTTCTTTGCTACGAGTGATGATTGCTATAATCATTTGAGGTCTGTACATTCCACCATTATATGACATATGCTTCTCCAATTTCAACTGCATTTCTGTTTCATGAATATTTTTCTGTTGCCTCTACATACTGAGTACTTGTGTACATATGCTTAGGGCATAATGTGTTAGACTGGGTGAAATCAGATATATTTTGGGGATGTTGGAATTGGGATTGTTTGACACAGTTTGTGGACCCCGGAGTTAGGAATATGATAATTTACTTCCCCCTTTCATCATAGCTGGATTTGGATTTATTGTCTCCACCCCACCATTCACACCTACCCCTATGCCTCCTTCCACCTACATCCCTCCCTTTCTACTGCTATGCATGCTAAATTGAGAGTAAAACTCTTCACCCTCAAAATCTTATCTTTTGTTGAGCATATAACCATTAATGTGCAATCTAACTATCAGCTTAGGCTTTTAGTTGAGATGGAGCACATGCTTTAATTTGGTATCAATTTGGTATCAGAGTCAGACCGAAGGTCATGAATTTGAATCTCTACGTCACCAGCTTAGGCTTTGAGTTAAGATGGAGCACATGCTTCAATTTCCTTGAGGGAAAAGACTCTGGTCCATATTATAATTTGCTCAAATAAATGCATGGTTCTCTCCGGACGACAAGAAATACATTGTCGTAAATCGATGTTGCATGATGAGTTATCATTTCAATACTCAACTAACGATTATATGCAGTCGTAGAAATTAAAGAAACGATTAAGGAAGAAAAACAGTTGAATAATCCCAAACATCATCGCAGATATATCAGACACTAAAACTTCACATATGTATATATAATAATCCTTTCAGTGTTCACTCCATGCCGGTGGTGTCTTGTCCCTCATTTGTACGTTTTGCTTTCAAGTATTCCTCTTCTATCTGTTTTTCTATCTCCTCCACCTTCATATTCACCATCAAATAAATTAAATAAACAATATCCCATATATGATATAACAAATAATATATATATATATATATATATATATATATATATATATATAGTTACGTTGGGAAAAGTCTACGGTGCTAATCAACATCAATGTTGCTTGTATCACGTATAAATAAAAAATTTTAGAAAATATTTTAATTTGTACCGAGCATTGCACACATAGAGTAGAGGAGGGGCTGAGTTGAAGGAGAGATAAGAGAGGAAAGAGAAAAAAAAAATTATAATTGACATACTATATTATTTTGTACTAAACATACATTATTATTATTATTTTTTTTTGAAAGCAAACATACATTATATTATATAAAATAATATATTTTTAAATAATATACTTTACCTGAATATAATATATATATTTAATATATTAAAAATACACTATTTATGTACTGAATATACATTATTTGATAATATACAAACTAATATATTTTCAGTACCAGGACTATGTGGTCTAATGGTACACGGGTTGAACTTTCATTTGGAAGATTATGAGGTTGAGAAAGTATATGAATTGGTTCTTTGTGTTTCAGTAGGTTGAGAAAGTATATGAAGATACTACAATGTAATACAACCAGTAACTTAAAAAAAAAATAATAATAATAATATAATAATAATATATATGCAATAACGACTCAACCTTAACATGGACTATTTACTTTGGGAATTGGGATAATACGGAATACCAGAGACAAACTTTGAAATTTTAACATATAATTGTATCCGCTGGAATCTTTTTTTTTTTTTTTTTTTTTTTTTTTTTTAATTTAATTTATATTGAAATGGTGAGACAGCATATGACCTACCTACCGTGTTTTTTTTTTTTTAAATTTAATTTATATTGAAATGGTGAGACAGCATATGACCTACCTACCGTGTTTTTTTTTTTTTTTTTTTTTTTTTTTTTTTTTTGAAAACCTACCTACCATGTTAGATAGTGCATGCACTTTCGTTTCACTTTCTTATTTATTTATTTTAAGAAAGTCATCACTATAAATATGAAACACGTGACCTGTTGGAACCATATATGTATCATTGCACATTCGCACGCTGTCATCATTTATTCACTTAAAACAAATTAAACCCATCATATAGAACACCTTCTCATACCAATAAATAGTTCAAAAAATCTTCAAAAATTAATTATGCATAGTTGTCGATCACATTTTAATTCTCAACTTGAATCTTGTCCACGTAAAGTTAAAGAATCAATTCAATAAGTTAAAAAAGTAACTATGAACAAATACTATATTGTAACAGAGTCAATAGTACGAACTCCAAAAAAAATATTATAATATGATGAGAAAATAACATTCTTTGTTCATTTATTTATAGCAAAAATGTTATTTTTCTTTGATAATTTATAGTTTTTTTAAAAAACAATATAATAATTCAATATTGTTAATAGTAATTGAGTTTCAATAATGGTTAATTGTTATATATTCATGACTCCATTAAAAAAAAAAATACCTTATTGATGACTCCTTCAGCTTGTTTGGCATAGCTGACGGCTTGTTCAGCTAAATTTTCAATGGAATCAAGGCTTTTCTTTAACTTAGAATCTCCTGGAAGCTTCTTCTCTATATCCTCCGCCACCTTATCTACTTCGTGCGCTATCTCCTCCACCACCTCCACCACCTCTTCTACCGTCTCCATTGCCTTGTCCAAATTATCTACATATATATACTCATTTTAAAAAAAAAACTATAATTCCATAAAAAGGAACAATATTATATCTATCTATATATCCCTACTAGCTAGCATATACAAATTAAGTTTAAATTTATTCATATATAAATTTATACTAACTTTTTAAGAGAACCAAAGGTCCTCCTTTAGTCCTCAAAACAGGTATAACTACTGATAGTAGTATTCCCATCATCCATTGCCTGCACTCAATAAGTTAAAATAATAAAATAAATAATAAACCATCTGCAATAATTTATATAGATAAAAAAACAAATAAAAGAAAATCAAGATAAAATCATGAAGATTTACAGGTGGCATTTTGAAAGATTTTTAAAGCTTATCTAAATTGTCTATTTTTGTACTATATACATAGGTCAATTTTTTATTTTTTTTAATACTATCGATTCTGTTACAAGGTAGTATCTGTTTAATATACTCTATCTATTTGTTATAGTCAAAGAGTCAATACCCCACCACCCGAGTTCGATCATGTGACTTTTCCTAAAGGAGAGCCACAATATTCAAAAAATGTTTTAGTTGCTTTACTATTCCTAAGTCCTAACATTAAACTGGAAGGTCACAACATCAAACTCAGGTGGTAAAATATCAACTCTTTAGACTACAACAATAAAGAAAGTATAAAATATATATATTATCTTGTAATAGACTAAATAGTATTAAAAAGACATTAAACTTTATTTTTATATACAACGGATCAAGACAAGTCATTACTCCGATCAGTATTAATGTTTGAATAGTACATGAATCATTATTAACTCCTTCAACTAATGATAAATAATTAATGTAGAAAAAATTAATCACTGAAGAGTCTTTAGTACATATACTCTCAATCTCTACTCTTCTATACTCTCCGACGTGATGAACATTGAATTCATTTTGTTGAGTTCCAAAAAGTGTCGTCTACATTAAAAGTTTAAATTAGGAAATAAAAATTAAAAGTCCAAGTAGTATTTCTGGTCTAAAAACTGTACTTTTTAAACTATTCATTCACAAAGTACATGAAAATTATTGAATAGATCTATCCACGAAGCTAAATTAACAAGAAAACATACTTTTAGAAATTAAATATGGAAATAAATGCAAATTGACATACTATGATGTTGAGATAATTTTTGATTTTGTGAGGTATAATTGAATATATATAATTGATGAATTGAAGTTATTACCATCCAGGGAAAGGAGATTTGTTGGGAGGTTGTGGAACTGAAGAAGGGTCATCAGAGGCAGCCTTAAAACTACAACCAAAAACATTCAAAATTTCAACCTTAATTAATCAGATTATCATCATCAATGAAGACCAAGAAAAAAAAAAAAAAACTTACATAAAAAGTCTGCCATGTTGTTTAAGGTTGGATCTGAAGAAGTACTGTAGGGAGTGATGAGTGATCTTGTTTGTCTTTCCCAAAACTGGCAAAAAACATCGCCTTGAAGATGAAGATGAAGGATGAAGCTTGTGGGAATGGATACTAAGATGATTATTATTGTGACATATCGAATCTGAACAAGAAGTGAGCATGCTAGCAGTGGCCATTGCAGATTAAGTGAAAGTCAATGAGGTTTCTGAAGGTTTGGTGGGTAAGTGGGTGATGAGAAAATGGAGTGTCCAAAGCTTGCTTTTATTAATTACAATAATTAATTATATTCCATGGGATGGGATGTGTACGTATCCATCTGAAATACTCCGTAATTATTTACTGGGAAATTCAAGTACCACGTTCTTGTTTTTTTATTATATTAATTGTTTAGTATATTATTAATTGCCCTTAGACCCAAAAAGCTGTCCGATATGACAGATTCGCCAATTATTCACATGAAGTCATCCTCACCCCTACAAGTAAAATGATATATGTACTCGCATGGAGTACAATTTTTATTATGCGTAAAAATTTTATTGAATAAATAAAAATGAATGAATAAATCAGGGATTCACTTTGTTCTTTAAGGGGTCGTTTGGTTCGCGGAATGTCAGATTACCTCAGAGAATGTGGGAATGTTAGATTCTTGTGTTTGGTTAAAATTGGGGTATGCAATATAATCATGTTTGGTTTAGGGTTATTTTTTATTCACACACTATAATATCCTTAACATATTTTCATATATTTTAATAAATTTAAAAATTAAAATAAATAAATAAGATAACAGTATCATATATAATTACATGATTTTAAAATATTAACTAAAATATTGAACTTAAACAAAATTATTTTATATGCTAACTTAACATAATAAAAATAAAAAATATATAATTACAAAAATAATTATATATATATATATATATATATATATATATATATATATATATATATATATATATATATATATATATATATATGTGTGTGTGTGTGTGTGTGTGTGTGTGTGTGAGAGAGAGAGAGAGAAACTAACATAACCAAAGTTATCTCACATAACCTTAGAAATTGAAGGAAATCACATTCCCTTCAAGATCTTATGTGGAGGGAATGTGACATTCCTGGAGAATGTTAGATTCCCTGAGATAATATAAACCAAACATAGGAATGTGAGCTTTGAAATGTCACATTCCATTGGTTATGTTATATAACCTGAACCAAACGCCCCTTAAATGAATTAAAAGATAATACCTCACAAGAAGTAATAAATGGAAATACATGTAATGTTACTCTCTAAACAATATTATCTCATTTTTTGAAAATAGATTTTACTTTAATATTATTAAATTTTCAATTTGCTTATAGTTTTTACAACAGTGCATTAAAGTGAGACCCAACTTCACAATGCATTAAAAAAATTATTATATTTTTTCAATAAATATTATTTTCTCTACACAATTATTCTTTTATTATGTAAATGACTTTTATATATTATAAATAAAAGATATTTTAGAATTATCTGCATTACGTATATTTTTTTTTTTGAAAGTTACTGGCTCTATTACATTGTAGTATCTGTTCATATACTTTCTCAACCTACTGAAACACAAAGAACCAATAACGCCTCCACTGAGACTCGAACTTATAATCTTCCAAATGGAAGTCCAACCCGAATACCATTGGACCACATAGTCCTGGTATCTGCATTACGTATATAATTGAGTGTTAACGTAAAATTCAAATTATGATTTGAATTGTTAAACTAAAACACAATTAAACTTTACCAAATTTAAATAAATTAATAATTAATTTTTTAAAAAGAAAATTACAAAATTTATGTCTTTAATTTTTTTTTTTTTTAAGAACACTATTAGTTCTATTACAAGGTAGTATCTGTTAGAAAAGTTATGAAAATGTGGATGGCTGATAATAGGGAAGTGAGGAGATGAAATCTTCAGTGTAATCACTTTCATATAAGCTTTAAATCTCCCTCATATGAAGCAACAAGGTTCAAAATTTAATCTTATGGGATACAAGAAGATGAATGAAACTCTTAAGTTGCTTTGTTTAAGAATTTCCTGTAGAATTGTATAACTGTGTCTTTCAGATGTTTCTCCAAAATATTTATAGATGCAAAATATATCTGTTTGGAGAAGTTACATGGAAGTTGCTGTAATTTAAAACTCAACTTCCATAAGATAAGATATATCATGAATGATATATCTATCACTGGAGAAATAATTACATTTATTTTGAGTCAGTAACTGTATGCAAAATTATATTCCTTACGCATGTTAAGTGTATGCAAAATTATTTTTTGCAAAACATGCAAAGAATAAATATAAATAATATACATATATGTAGTTTAATAATCTCAAGCACACAGCTACATATTCCAACGCATGTTAAGTGTAATTTTGAACTTGAAATACAAATTCAAAGTTCATCAGCCGAACTTAATTCGGCAAACATGCATCCTCCGTAAACTTCCACGGTAAATTTCTCCCTGTATTTTAATTAACTTTCTACCAAACTAAAATAATATTTACAACTCCACAACTCCAAATATTATTTAAGCTTTCATGGTAGTTCATCTGAAACATTAATCTCCATTACTATATAAATTTCCAACAGTATCTATTCTACACTTTTTCAATATTTTTTCGATCATGTGACCACTCATTTGGAATGGTAACAAATGTGTCATTACACTACATAATAATTGACATCTTAAAATAATTTAGTTACATAAATTATTATCTTTTTCAATAAATACTATTTTCTCTTCACGAACAATTGTTCTTTTATATTTAACATTGAAGTATTAAAAATAACAAAAATAAAATTCTAAAATATATAAAATTATATATTTTTTTAAAACATTCATTCACTTTGCTGGGAGCGTGTGGCTCCCCACAAAGTAACCCAATTATTATTATTATTATTATTATTATTATTATTATTATTATTATTATTATTATTATTATTATTATTATTATTATTATTATTATTATTATTATTATTATTATTATTTTGGTTTTAACTCTGTAATGTTACTATTAAAATAATAATATGTATAAATAATCAAAACAAAATATAAATAATAAGTGATTAGTATACTAAGTTTGTTGAATCAACTTTTATTTTTCTTTAATAATTTTTAAATTTGTCTTTTAGTATACTATACGCTAATACTTTTAACGTATTTTAAAATATACGAATTTTATTAATTAACAATACATTAAATATTTCAAAAAGTTAAATTAGATATAATTTGAGCCAAAGTTTTATTGTAATGATATATAATGGGACGAATGAAGTATTTAAAATAATTTAACTTGGTATTTGTTCTTAAAAAAAAAAAAAACAATTGTTAAGAAAAAGTTAGGAAAGGGTAATAACTTTATCTAAAACAGACACCAACAAGTACAGAGAAATTAATTTGGTTGCATTACCTTTCCGACGCATACTTATAAAAGTGTACATTTTGTGAACATGTTTTTGTCGTTAAATCATTTTTTTTTTTTTTTTTTTTTTTTTTTGTAGTAGTCGTTAATCATTAATATACGTGCTCCGTTTATAAGGATAAAAAGGGTTAAAATATTTCATCCAAATATCCTTTTGAGTAAATCCATCAGATATGATTTTCTTAGTGCAATTTACTTATTCTATATTGTTTGCGGGTTATCACATAAAAACGAAACTGTATGTCATACACATTTTCGGATGGTAGCTGTGAATTTTCATCACCATCCAAACAAATTAAAATGTCTTGAAATGAGTGATCGAATTAGTAGAGCATCGTTCATGTACTTTTTGTGAGTTATTACACTTAATACATACAATCTGATAGTAATCATAAATTTCTATCGTCACCTAAAAAAGGTTAAAATATACCTTTATTGTCTTTGACTTTTTTTTTTTTTAATGCGTGGAAAAAAAATACATAAATCCACTGTTGAATCCCATTAGGGAGAGTCAAAGGACCTACAATCCAAGCACAATTCTCTGATATCATACACATATATATGAATTATGACGTAACTATGATTTGATTAAATTAGTCGTATGTATCTGCAATATACAATCTTACATATGTTAGTTCAATATGAAAAATATTAGTAAATAAAACAAAATTAATGAAGTATGGACAAGGTTAGAGACTTTATCTTATATTTTCGTCACTATCCCATGATGGGCTAAAAGCCCACATTAGCTATTGAGCTTATTAATGGACACCAAACACCATGTCACAGAGTAGGATGCATATATATGTACATACCAATTGGAAAATCCAAAACCAGCAGCCTAATTGCATTTAGCACAATAGCGGTCCACATAGCTGTGTCTGTGTGGATCACGGTCCAAAAATAACGTCATTTCGTATAATTTTTTTACACGTCCCACTGTAATATATATTTTTAAATTCATAATGTACATTATTTTAACACATAAAATACATTATTCTAACACATAATGTACATTATTTTTTTACCTATGAAGTTTCATAATTTTAAAACTCATAATGTATATTATTCTAACACATAATGTACATTATTTACGTAAGAAGTTTCATTATTCTAATTTCTAAACACATAATGTACATTGTTCTAACTTATAAAATTCAGCGACGTTATTTTGGATTGTGATCCACACAATAATTTGCCCATTTAGCAGTAGCCGGAACCCTAAAATGAGCTTTTAACCTAATTTTTAATACAATATATTCATACAAATAGTCAACTAATTGACATGGTAACTCTTAATACACTTCTAACATATTGTCATTTTTAATTATCAAAATAAAGCTCATTCGTTTATGTGTTGTGGGAGTATTGCTTTCTTCTTCTTCTTTGTTAAAAGCTTTCATGTCAATATGCTGGGCAAAAATTTAGAGGATCAAAATTCAGTATCCTATCATCTGGTGTTGACTTTGGCCTAAATATAAGAAAATAAAGCTTTTATTTTACTGTTAATTATAATTTTTGATGTAATAATAAACAGATGATCTTGACAATTAATATTAGAGCGCATAATAATGTAAATTTGGGGTTCATAACCCATCTAAACGTGGGCCAAATATTGCGTCACAGCACTAATTACTTTAATGGACAATTAATATAGTAATATTAAATAAATTAGTGGTTTGGATGAAAAGAGAGACAAGGAAAGAGTTTCTTAAAAGAAATGAAGAGAGCTGAGGTTTAGATCACAAGAACACAGAAATTAATTTTGTCGTGGAACAGAAATATTCTTCAACATGTTGGAAGAGGAAAGACAAACATTCCAAAAGTAGATTCTCTATGCATTAATACACGTAAAGTAAACAATGATTTGAAACTTGAAAGTGACACAATAATTTTACATGTTCACATGAAATTTGTTATTTTAAACCAAATAATTCTAATTTCGAGTACTATATTATCTATACTTGTGAAATAATATAGAGAAACTTATGAAAATTAATATAATAATGTTCATGTCAATAATGAAAGGATTGGAATCATCATTTCATATAAACATAGGAATGCAAAATGTTATTTTTCGTATAATATATAGAATAGACTGATGAAATTTTGATTCAATTACATGACTTGTAACAACCATAAATATTTTTCCTTTCCTAATTGCAAATTATTAATTAAGCTAGATTGTGTCTCCTCTCATATATCCTCTTGAATCATGGCAACCATTTCATGCACTGCCGTGGCTATCTCATTCACTGACATCAGGTGGCAATCATCTTCAACCTGAATCGAATCAAATTTTCAGATAAATTAGATTCACAAAACAGTGAAAGAAAGAAATAAATAAATAAAAGAAACCATTTTTTTTTTTTTACCTTTAAGGAGAAAGAATAAAGAACCATAGGATCAATTGTGGTAACATTAAGGTGGAGAACCGTAAGCCTCATGGCTTGAAACCATTTGACCATCTTCACAAGTTGTTTTGGTTGTTTTGTTGAGAGCACCTTCACACTTGCATGGCTTTCTACCAGGGCAACTTCCACGTCCGCCACCGTCGACAACTTCTGCGGCGGCGAGGCGGCGGCGGTGGGAGAGTGGGTTTTGGGGGTTGAGTATTGAGGGAAGGTAAAGAAGGTGGAGAAAGGGTAGTGAGAATTGTTGGCGTAATTTGAAGAGATCTGATTTTTCACTTGCTTGTGAACTTCCAAGAATTGGAGAAGTTGTTCTAGCTCCTTCACAAAGTTAATTGTTCCTCCCACAATTGATGCTTGGTCTCCCTATACATGTAGGATCAAGTTAGTTCAACTGATTATTTTCGGTGAGACCGTTTTATTGGTATCGTTTAAGCTGATCAGCTATAAACAATATAGACTGATTTAGTTACTGTCTTTTGCTGGTTATGATCACATACAATGCAGAATTTACTTAATGCACACCCATTGTGATTTCTCTTTGTCATTAAAAAAAATCAAATTGTGTTGGAGGGAGAGGAGAAAAAAGAGAGTGAGGATACCCTTTGAGCATAAGACGGCGGCAGAAAGGAGCGGAGGACGGCGAGGTAGTCGTTGACTTGGCGGCGACGGTTTCTCTCAACGGCAATGTGAGTCATCCTTTGGTTCTCTATGTCTTCCTTGTTCTTGGAGCTTTTGGTGCGCTTTCTCTTCCGGGGTCGTCCCAACGCCGCTGTCTCCGCCGGAGAGTACTCTACCGGCAAGACTTCCGGCGGCGGAGAATAATCCCAACATCCATTTGAGGCAGTCTGCTCAACACTACTGCTAAGTGCTTCGCAGCTCAACTTGTCTTCTTCAAAACCGTAGCCGCCGCCATAGCAATCCAACAATCCCCCCATGGCCATGGCGTAACAATCTTTGAAATCAAAGCCAAAAGGGTCTTGTAAAAAGGTAACATTTTCTAAATCCATTATGTTCGTAAGTACCAAGATGGACTTGTATGTGTACAAGAGAGGATGTATTTGGCTACCCTTTTAAAGGCTTCAAAATAGGATTAATCAATAAAAAATTGTACCAATCATATCAAGTTTAACTGGGCTGCGCTACAGCAACCTTAACATGTGAGGCTTTCTAGGTTGTATTGTCTTGGGGAATAGTGTACAACAATAATTATTCTCTTCTTAGCTAGTTAATTAAATATTAGAAATTTAGAACTTGTTTTTTTTCCCCCCATTAAATATGATAATTGAATAATAGACAACGAATAACTCAATTTATACATAATTACAAAAACTTTTCGGACATTTTGAATTTTTTTAACTATTTTTTTAAGATAGGAATTAGATCCATCTTGATCTCAAAGTCACCTTTGCCAATTATTAGGCAAGATTTTGAGATTAAAATATGAGTAGTTGTTAGTTTAGTAGTACTAATAAGATTTGTCATGGATTCATGGACAGGGCGGGAATTTTACTTAAGTAGTCACTGTTGAAAATTATGGAATTTTCAATCACCTCAAAGTGATCTTAAATCAAGTTGAAAGCCTTGTTTCGATCATTTTTGGTATCCGAAAAAACTTTTGTTGCTATTTCCGATCACTTTTTGCTTTCGAATTGATTTAAAATCACTTTCAAGTGGTCGAAAATTCCATAATTTCCAGTAGTGAGTGGCAAAATTAAAGTCCATTGTCCACAAATTACAATTAGCATTTTTGGCATTCAAAAAATCACAATTAATAAGTTTTGCAATTAATCAATTATTATAAATTTATAATAAAATTGTGTAGATATTTAGGGATCTAAGATTTAAAGTTTGAACTAGTGACTAGAAAAATATGGATGGAGAATGAGGTGGAGTTGTTATTACATGACATCAACAACAATTGAGACTTAATTGCTAACGGTGAAGGCATGGTTGCTTATATAGAGTTGTTGTTGATTATTGTTGTGATTGTTGCCTACAAACTTTAATTCGATGAATCACTAAAGGCATGAATGAGTGGCGCATAGCTACCTACGTACTTTTTGAAAACCTCGAACGATTAAACGATGGCCTAACAAGTGAAATTTGAAGACGGATGTGAAGAAGCTAGACAACCCTCTTTTGATTTTGTGAAGCTAAAGGAGAACTGGAGAAGTGAAGAACTCGAAGAAAATGGCATAGTTTTGTTTAAAATAAAAATGCATATCACTTTAAAATAACGTATTTTGGAGTTACATTTAAAAGATGTATATACAATTAATACTAGTTTGGGATGGGAGCTGGGGGGGGGGGGGGGGGGGGGGCATTGCTTCATTTCCCTTATTGTGGCTTGTCCCTAGTTGTGGATTTCTACTTTTAATAAGGAAGGTTTCAGGTTTTAGTCGATCTCATCTCAATCAAGATTGGCATTACATATAACATATACTACTAATAGGTTAAATGTATTTCAAAAAACATGTAGTAATAAACAATCAAATTAAATTGAACTAAATTTGAGGGTGTGAAGTCATCTATCTACAGGAAAATATAATAGTTAGTAGTTCACGAGTGCTATGTACGTACGGAATGACCAAAACAAAAGGACCACGACTATATATGAACTGAATACAACCAACTAACATTAAAATTTATCACATAGTGTGTGGCATTCAAAGGAATATTAATTAGCATTAAGCTTCATTCAAAGATATGGAAGGTATGGTCCAAGATGTGAAAGGATATCCCAATATCTTACTTAAATTACAGCCCTACCTCATCAATTGTTTGTACTTAAACATGATTCACCCTACCAAATTACCAGATTTGCATATCTTTAGAATATATGAACAATGTCATAATTAATCAACACCCTTATTATTAAGTTTGAACCTCAAACTTAAAAATCTTTCAACGCTTCTCCCTTGTTGATTATAATATATAAATATAGTTGTGTAATTCAACTATCAATTTAGACTTTTAGTTGAGATAGAACACATTGATTCAATTTGGTATAAGAGTCAATATCATATCAAAAGTCATTGGTTTAATTTGAATCTCCGCCTCTCAGAAGTATATGGCTCTAAATCACGGGATGTGTAAGAGTTTTATTATTAGTTGAGTGATATGTCTCATCTCAAGTATGTGTGTGTGTGTCACACACACACAATATGCTTCAATGAGAACGTAAGCTACATATTAAGGAAAAACATAAGCTTACATGTGTACACTATTAGTTATCGATGAGCACACTATCAAACATTTTTAAATGCATCGTCGAAAATTACGGTAATATCACCATATTTTTCTCTGTATTTCCAATATTTGATCATCTTAGATGGACATATGAGATTAGTTCACATGTTCTCAGAAGCAAATATATATATAACACAGGTCACATTTGTATGAGACCGTCTCACAGATTCTTATTCATGAGACGGGTAGAGTCAAGTCAATATGCAAATGTAATATTTATACTAGTAAATGTAATACTAAATCATGAATAAAATGTAATACTTTTACATCAAAATATAAAAGTAATACATTTTTTTTCAAAAGTATTACATTTTCTTATATACGTAATAAACATTTTATTCCTGATTTGCTAGTATAAATATTACACATTTCATCTTAACTCAACCTGTCTCATGGATAAGTATCCGTGAGACGATCTCACACAAGTTTTTGCCATATAACGCTGGGCAGTGTATATAAATTGAAAAATATTATTTATACTAAATTTTCAGTATCGTCTATTATGATTAAACCAAATTAGATTAAAATACTTTATAAAAATTAATTATGCAAGTAGTACGTGTTGCCCATATAAAGTTAAGCAAATTGTACAAAAAATATTTAGGATGGCTGTCTTGCCTAACTGGCAAGATTGTGAATGCATAAAATTTAATCGTTGTTCTAATATAATATAATATAAATTGGTGCCAATTATAAAGTGGTAATGTGAATATATAGAGATGTTGTATCCTTGTTGTTTCCTAATGTCAACAAAATTATTCGTTCCAATAAATCCTAAGACTTCATTAGTTTAAGACAAATGTTATGTCCGTATAATGGTGGATATAGACATCATTAATTATTTAGTTAATTAGAAAAATAATAAATTGGTGCACTATTTGTTATCCACAATGTAATATCAAATGTTTTTAAATGCACTGTTATAATTATGAAAATGTCACCGTATTATCAATATTTTTTTAATTTCCAAACATTGGTCATCCTAAGTGGATAAATGGTATTAGTGTAGGGAAATAATAGTACCAAAATATTATTCTTGGAAAAACAAGCACAAAAAACAAAAGGAATTGAATGAGTTTAGGTCGAGTCGTGTGTATTTACACTCTCCTTAAAACCTTATTTGTTACCTTCCTGTAGTGCTATGGGCATTGTAACCTAGGGCTTCCATGGCCAAGATAAAACGAACTACAACTCAATGTTTGGACACTCAAACAAATGAGCCCGACAAACTAGAACATTGGCTTGAACACACAAATTTTGAGAAATGAGAGCAGGATTTGTTAGGAACCTTGTATTAGGATTTTGATGATACCAATGTAATGTAGAAAGTAGACCCCTAACTCTTTCGTTTTTATTGTATCGCTACTTTCGTTCTAGACGAAAGTTGCCATAACTCATATGTAATTCGTGTTAAGCTAGAACAAACACACGAAAAGAGTTATGAATAGAAGATAGGCTGATCAAAGCGAAAGAAGACTCCACAGCAACGAAAGAAGGAGTTGTCATTAAAAAGACAGTTCTTTTTAAGACTATTTCAACAAGTATTCTTCTTCTCATCAACTAGAAGAATGTTCTACCTGTCTGATTTGACAACATCCTAGGACAATAAGGACCTCAACTCATGGGACACGCTATCCAAAGAGCATTTAATGAAGTCGTACTATCTCTGGAGCTAAAAGACAAAAGTCATCAGATCCTCCATACCTTCAACGGCTACATAGTACAAACCCATTAATGGAGCATTAAATGCATGAGGCTCCATGGTCCTTGTCCAACAGATAAAAGGTTTAAAAAAAATTCATCTCCCTCCAACGGATGAATTTTCATCACCTATATAAACCAACCTTCATCAACTAAGAAGGTGCTGGTTCATTTATCACTCTACTCACTCTCTTGCAAAAAGCTCTTAAAAAGTGAACAAATCTCAAAGCTTTTTGCGAACCAGTTATTTAAGGTGTTAAGGCATTTGAAGTAGATCACCCATCACTGCCCTACATCTTGTAAGAAGTCTTGCACTCTTGAAGCAATCATCCCACACCAACAAGACTTCACAGTTGGAGGAATCAAGAAATACTTTCTCACCAACCTCAACTTAGAACAAGAAGTTGATAGAGGCGGAGTAAACTCTCGGAGTTGAAAAACCTTCAAAGGCTGTCTGGCTTAGTGATCAAGGAAGTCTTTGTGTAATTGTACTAAAGAGTGATAGTGCAATCCTTCCAGCAGTTGTGGAAGAAGAGTGGAAGTAGGCAAAGTTTGGCTGAACCACTATAAAATCTCGTCTCGCTCTTCTCTTTACTTACTGCTTTAGTTTACTGCTTGCATATCATCCTTTTCATCACTCATCTTATCTTTTTATCAAACTCGTGCAACCCTCTCTTTATAACCTTTCCGCTGTGCTTATCTTACTCAAAAGTGTTGTCAGGGTTTTTCTTTTAAAGAATCTAAAGAAAAACGAGAGTCTATTCACCCCCCCCCCCTCTAGACTCACCACACAATCTATCGGGACCAACAAGTGGTATCAGAGCCGAATACCTTGAACGGTGAAGGCTTTTTGCATTTTACTGCATGGTAGATCCACCTTTGATTTTTTTTTTTTTTTTTTTTTTGGATCTTCTTCGTTGCACGATTTTTTTTTAAATGGAAAAAGAATATGCACAAAATCGCTCTAAACAGCTTGCTTTTAGTCTTGCCAAGTTTGATGACTGGAAGTTAAGAATGCAGGCTCTTCTGTGCTCTATTCATGATGAAATGTGGGACGTCATATCTACTGGACCTATCACAGTGATGATGGCAAATGCAC